GTTCGCGGGCCTCCCCCCGGGCGGACCCACGCAGCGGCGCCTGGGGGAGGCGGAGAGGAGGTGAGCCAGCCCGCCGGGGGCCCCTCGCGGGGCCAGGCCGCGCCGAGCCCCGCCTCCTCCGCGGCGATCCGTCGCTCGGCGGCGCGCCTGTGGAACTCGCGGCCACCGGGCGGAACGCCGCCCCTTGCCCGTGGGGCGCGGGAGGGGGTCACGAGGTGGAGCTGTCCCCCCGCTTCAGCGCTGTCCTGGAGAGGGGGAGGGGGCGGACTGGCTTCCTGCCCTGAAGCCGAAGCCGCGCGTCCCCCGCTGGCTGAGGCGGGTTCAGCGAGCGGCCCGAGAGAGCCTCCCCGTGCAGAGGCAGTCTACCGTGGCTGTAGGGGGAGGGGCTGTTGACCAGGCCCGAGGCCGCCTGGTTCAGCATCCTCCCGTTCCCAGGGCAGCTGCGGCGGGCCGCCCTTTTCGTGGCCAGACTCCGCAGACCCTCCTCCCCGGCTCTCTGCATCTGCTTTGCGGCAGCCTGTCGACCGGTGGCCTCTGGGCAGGGAAGGCTCCTTAAAAACTGAGGGTGGGACCCCCTTGCCGTAACTGCCCACTTCCCTTTTCCCCAGGTCAGCGTGCTGGACCGGTTCAGATGGGGGCGGCCGTAGGTTTTCTTGCCCAGTGGGGCCCGAGCAACGCGGAGATAATTTTCTGAGCTTAAACGGCTGTGTAAAAAGCGTGACTTAATTGTTTTTCATTTACAAAACGGTCGTTCGGAGACTTCGCTGAGAATAAGCTGCCGCGCGTGTTGGGCTGTAAGCGGTCTAGGTGTTGAGCTCCTTTCGGGCACGTAAATCGTTTCGCAAGTTCTCCCAGCAAGATTCAGGCTAGAGTGCTCAGGGAGATAGGGAAACACCAGCAGCTAAAGAATCCAATCCCCGCAGAGAAAGGTTAGCAGGTAGTGATTGGAGAATGCTCTGGGTGAGGTGGGGGTGGTCCTTCAGGTCTCCTTTTGTGAGTCACTGTCCCCGTTCGTTGGTACCCTTTAGGCTTGTCAACATGACTGAGAGAACGGAAAGTCTCCATTTCCAGTTTGACAACTATGGGGATTCGATGCTGCAGAAGATGAACAAGCTGAGAGAAGAGAACAAATTCTGCGATGTCACCGTCTGTATAGATGACCTCGAGGTCCACGGCCACAAAATCGTCTTCGCTGCTGGCTCGCCCTTCTTAAGAGATCAGTTCCTCCTGAACGACTCCAGAGAGGTGAAGATCTCCATCCTGCAGAGCTCGGAAGTCGGGAGGCAGCTGCTTCTGTCCTGCTATAGCGGCGTCCTGGAGTTCCCCGAGATGGAGCTGGTGAACTACTTGACGGCAGCCAGCTTTCTTCAGATGAGCCACATTGTGGAGCGCTGTACTGAGGCTCTCTGGAAGTTCATCAGGCCGAAACAGAAGCTTGGAAGCAAAGAGGAAGGCCCAGCACGGGCCAATTCCTCCCAGTCGAGGGAGACTGCAGGAGCCAGTGGGGGGGAGGAGGAGGAGGAAGACAACGAGGAGGAGGAGGAGGAGGAAGACTCCTTGCAACCTGATTCGCCTTGCATCCAGCCCTCTGAGGACAGCATGGACGTGGACGATAGTGATATCCAGATTGTGAAAGTGGAGTCTATTGGGGAGGTTGCGGAGGTTGGAAGCAAAAAGGACCCAAGCCAGTTTATTTCCTCCGAGCAGCAGACCTCCCTTCCTTCCTCGGAGCCCCAGCACTCCCTTATCAATTCCACAGTGGAGAATCGAGTCGGTGACCTGGAGCAGAGCCAGCTCCACAACTACGCCCTCTCCTACTCGCCGGCTGACAACCTCATTGTGGCTTCCAAGGAGCTCTTTGGCCCCAGCAACCGGGGGGTGGACAAGGGCCTCCAGTGGCATCACCAGTGCCCCAAGTGTACCCGCGTGTTTCGGCATCTGGAGAACTACGCCAACCACCTGAAGATGCACAAGCTGTTCATGTGTCTCCTGTGCGGGAAGACCTTCACCCAGAAGGGCAACCTCCACCGGCACATGCGGGTGCACGCAGGGATCAAGCCCTTCCAGTGCAAGATCTGCGGGAAGACCTTCTCGCAGAAGTGCTCTTTGCAGGACCACCTCAACTTGCACAGTGGGGATAAGCCCCACAAGTGCAATTACTGCGACATGGTCTTTGCCCACAAACCCGTCCTAAGGAAGCACCTCAAGCAGCTGCACGGCAAGAACAGCTTTGACAATGCCAACGAGAGGAGCGTTCAGGACACCGCAGTGGATTTCGACTCCTTCGGCTGCAGCTCTGGGGCGGACTCAAAAGGCTGTCCCTCGAACGAAGCCAGCCAGGTGCTGGATGCGGGGAAGCTGGCGCAGGCTGTACTCAGTTTACGGAGTGAAAGTGCTTGTGCGAATTAAGGTGGGTGCCCCCAGCCTCTTTTTGGAAGACCATAAAGAGCTGCGGTGGGAGATGGCTTGGGCCTCAGCCCTGAAACCACTCTGCCGTTTGAGCTTGGGGGCTGAACCTAACCTTGTAGCAGGTCTTCGCCTCCTCCTTTAGAAAGATTCGGCACGTTGGTTGTCTCTAAGTGACTTTGTCTCTCTTGCGAACAGAACCTCCCTCCTCGGATGTTACAAGAGCTGGCACGGGGGAAACCGCTGGTCTGGTTGGCCTGCGTTTGTTAAGCACCGCCAAAAAGAAGCTACTTGCTTGTGAGCCAGCCAAAGGGGTCAAAACAGGAACAGATATGCCCTGTTGCGGAGGAGTTTTTAAGCTAAAGACAGGACTGAATTCTTAGAAAAAGAAAAACACTGGATAATTATAAGCTCTTTTTACTTCGCCTCTTGGTGGGCTTCTTGTTTTGTATTCTTTATTAAAACTGTCAGGTACTTGCCTTCTGCTCCTCCTACCCTAAAGAGGCATCAGCTCTTACATGGTTGTCCCTCAGTGAATGACGTTCCTTTCCAATTTTATGAGGAAAGCAGCAGCAGGAATTGCTGTAGAGCAGAACTGGGAGAAATGGATCAGCAGAGTGGTGGGATGACCCTCACCTTTGTCTCTTTGCTCAGGCTCGTTCTTATCGTACCCGCAAGAGTACGTTTCATCACATCCTTTGTGGAAACTGTGTGGTTAGGCTAGAATGGTTGAAGTTTGCATGTCTTTCCCTTTCCCATCCTTGTTTGCTTGCCCCTGCCCAGGCAACTCCTTGCAACTAGAACTGGGTTTTCTCTGTAGCTGTTTCCCTTCTGGGGCTAGCAGGGCCTCGGCTGTGAACAATTCCTTCTTTGTCACTGAAACCCAAGACCATTTTTTCTCTAGGTTATATATGGTGCTTAAAATACTGTTGGCACTTGGTAAATTGTTAGAAGTAATGCAACAGAGGACAGGATTCGTTTAGAAGGGTTTTTACTGTGTCCTCAGCACTGGAAACCTCTGAAAGGCACAGGAACCCCAGGGCAGAGAGTAGGTTCTTCTCCCACACTAACCTTTGGAATTATTCCCAGAGAGAGGAATTCCTAAACGGTCAAAAAACAGTTAATAGTTTAAGGTGGGTTATAGCGTATGAGCAGTATTTTGGTTATTACTTATTAGCCAATATACTGGGGTAGAAGTCCCTGGGTATCGTTATATTATGGTGGCCTTTTTCCTGGGCTGAAAAGGCCAGGAAGCAGGAAATGGGGATTGTCTTCTTCACCAGGAAGCACTGGGTGCAGCTATTTTTAGTGTTTTGGGTGACCTGCAGTATTTACTTGTGAACAGTTTCCTCCTGAAAAATGTGATTTGGGAAGTGTTGAAAGCCTTGGGAAGTCTGGCTGCTCCAAAGGGACCTCCTAAGTGTTCACGTATTTCAAGAGGAAACTCCTGCCTTTCTGTCAGAGAGATTTCAGGCCAAGGAGTTTTGGAGTTGTGTGAATGCAGCTTCTGCTTCATACCCTGTCCTCTTCTTCCTCGCTCATTGTCATCTTCTGTTCATCCTTAGAGGTCAGGAGTGGGTGAGGAGTAGTAATTGTGTGGTAGGAAGGTGGGGGGGGGGCTCAAATATTTAAGTGAGCAGGTGGTGAAATGCTGGCCCCTCAGAGGTATCCAGCTTGATCCCCTCTGTTGGGATCTTGTGACTCCGTAGCAATTGGTAGGTAGAACCACAACCAGCAATGTTTTCCTTCCTCCGCCAGGGATTCCCCAGGCAAACAAGGGGAGGAGAGCTGCCCCCCTCCGCAACGCTTTGCAGATCTCTTGGGGAGAAGGAAAGCTGTTTTGACCTGTGAATGCATTCTTGTGTCCAAAAGACCACTCACCCTTCTGTATGTGTACTGAGTCATTGTGGTGGCTGCAGAATAAAACAATTACACCACCTTCCTTCCCTCGTGTAATTTTTCTTAGGATAGTTTGTAAATCTCGAAAGGGTGGGCAGGCCGAGCTGAACACCAGAGTGAGTCGGGTGGGAAAAATGAATGTGTGTGGGGGGGGGGGAGACCGCTACTTCGAAGCTTTACCTCGCTGCTGCCCTCTCCTGCAGGGGCGCACATTCCACCCACCTGCGGTGTGCTGGTGATAACACTGGGCTTAAAAGCTTTACTGTCCGTAAAGCTCTGTAGATGCTTGAGATGAAACAAACGCGGAGCTGTAATCAGCCTGTGCCGGCCTAGTGCCTCCCAAGGCTGCCGGGCTGCACCTCCCAACGTCCCCAGTGAGAGCCTGAACTTCCACGCAAATCTGCAGTCCCTGAAAGGCGCTGGCAGGTTTTATAAGGCGCCTCGAGGGCAGCCAGGCAGGCGGTGCAGAATCTTTCAGAAACGCCCTGGCGGGTTTCTTCTCCCGTAACGTGCACCGATCAGGGGGACCCGCAGGAAAGGGGCGGCGTTTCTCCGCGTAGCTCCCGATCGCCCGTGCCCAGAATCTGCGGGGTCTGCAGGGAGGGCGAGCTTCATGCCTTAGGAGCGCCTCCCCGAGCGGCTTCCAAGCACATGCGCCAAAGCACGACCGAGCCCGTGAATTAGAAACGTTCCCACGGTAGCGAAGCCCTCCCGCTGCACGGCGAGACCCCTCTGCGCGAGGCGGGCGCGCGCTCCCCAGCGCCTCTTCCTCCCATTGGCTGGGCCCTGGCCGAGGGCGGCCAATCAGGAGCCGGCGCGCGTGCCGGAGGATGTCCGACCGGGTCGCGGGGGCGGAGAAGCGCGGGGCCTCCGGAAGTTGATCCCTGCCAGCGAAC